TTCTCTTTCTTCTATAGTGTTCTTGTAGATTATTACTTATAGTATTTCAATATGTTATAACTGATTAAAAAAATTAAACAGCCATATTACAAACTACCATTTCCCTCCATTGTTACTTTCTCAAGCTTAGATTTTCCATTGCGGTAATGACACTCGTGCTACTCACGTATTAACTTGATGGCGCGCCATTAATATACAAAATATAGTTAAAACCGATCTTTATACCCCTTATTCCATCATCCCGGAAAAGTGTAGACCCCAATTTTTTTAAACTTAAAATTCACTCGAGTTTATGACACTTTAAAAATGCTATATTCAACGACTGTATCTCCCTTTCAACCATTGTATAACACTGTGAAAATAAAGACTCGTCTTTCTTTGCAAATTCTGATTTTATATGACGTTTAAATGCATAATATTATTATATAATGTTGCATATTGAATGTTTAGTAGTAACATTTGTTAAACATTAAGAAAGGTTGGAATTATCTAATTGTTCTTATTTGTATTTTTATTTCTATAAGATTTATCCAACACGCAAAATCAGCTTACATAAGAAATACCAATTTCTAATCAGCATTGAAATTATAATGCATTTGACGGTGAAATCTTGTCCAAAAACAACTCGACATTTAAAACCGGCTTGAAGTAAATTGTTTCAATATTTTGATTGGATTGGTAAACATGAAGTACAATCAAGGTTAATTCATCAGATACGTGTATCGACTACTAGATTATCACTGCTGTGAAGGTATTGTATTAAAACATACCGAAGGAGCAGTGTAATATCAAATGAGGATTTTAAAAGTCTTCAAAAAATCTTTTGGAAAATCGAAAATTGAAAATCTCAGATTTTTCACACATTAAAACACATGACCTTTCTGAGATGTGCAATCTTTTCACAAGACAAATTAAATTCTAGGTTTTTCAGTTTCCACGAATACCTTAACATGTTTTAAGAATGGATTTGATGTATCAGATATATGTTAAAATCTCGATTGAGGGGCAAAATCAGAACAAACTTTCAGTAATTCAGAAGTGAAAAATGAATTAGATAGAATACACATACGGTATGTACGGGTCCCTGTTGACAAAACAAGTAACAACGCTGTCTTTGTTTGCAAGACCCTCAAAACTGTATTCTTGAGAAACTGTGATCTTAATTCTACTAGAGGTAATCCCTGACCTATCCTATGACTTATCCATAGATCTCCTTCCAAAGAAGTAAATCTTCAAAATCATGTCAGTTTTCAATATTTTTTTCAATCCTTTATGCAACAATATACCTTCATCACCTACATACTGGTTTTATATCTCTCAGTTCGATGATTCGATGTGCAAGAGCATACTGTACGTGTGAACAATTTTTTAAAACAAATTTATGACAAAAAAGTTGCTGAAACAGGAATATCAGCAATCTCGTTTAAAGTCATCATTTCGTATGTTCTATGGTCGATACAATGACCTTTTCAGCAAATTTAATACAATTTATCATTGAGTCAAATGCTGACTGACGTTGTTCATACTAATTGTTAATCCATTATTTACATACTGAATTGTCGACGATATTTTCCGTTTTTTCCCGATCAAGATAACAAGTATACTGCGGGTGTGTTCGTTATCTCCATACATTTCATTTCACAGACAACTGCTTTCTCATTAAAAACGACAGTCGGTCGTTCTTTTGTCTTTCTTTGGATTTATGATCTATAAAATCATTTTGATTGCACATACTAGTACTTAAAACTTTAAAATTGATAAAAAAAAGATGCTGAAGTTTTTCAATGACAATATCTTTGTAGTCTTTGGAGCCCAGTTTCGGTTCGCTAACAATCTGTTGGATATTCCGATGGGTACTAATCGTTCTTTTTTCTTAACCGAGCTTTTATATGAAGTAGGATTTATTCAAAACGATCTTCACAATAAAAGAAATCTCTTGTCTTGGCTTTCAACTTAACATTTAGATATATTAACTTTGTCAATATACATGTATATGGAAAGTAACAATAATCAAGAAGTGGGTTGAAACAATACAAATCGAATTAGAGAAAACACAGACCTTAAAACACAAGGTGGGAATCAGGTGTCATGGAGAATAAACATGGCCTTAGAAAAAAAATGTTACTATCATTCAATAATGTAATTGACATTTATCCTACTGAACTCAAAATAAAAGACATTATAGAGTCTGTCACATCTGTGTCATATTTGAATGTTTTATCGACAATGTACGAAAGTGGCAAACTAATTACTAAATGTATGAGAAACAAGATCAGCATTTCATAGTCAACTTCCCTTATTCATGAAGTGAATAGCCCTGATTTTAAGCTTATTAACTTTTTTAAGCCATTTAAATGCTTTCTTCTCTATTGATCCGATGAAGACAAAGGGCTCACATGACAACTGACCACCAGTACACAGAGGATACTGACTTAACCACGACACCTGATCCCTTCTGTAATGTTTCCAGAGATTTGTGTGTGATCTGCTCATCATTTGAATTGTTTACTTTCACTTTTGAAAAAAAATTCTGTGTTTCCTAAAATTTCATTATATAAACCTCATAACTTTTTCTTAAAAAAGAAATTTATTTCCATCTACCTGTACACGTCATGTTCTTTGTTAAGTGAAACTAAATGTTCCAGCAACAATAGACAGAGGTATACAGGATATGTAAGTACGAGGGGTTATCAAAAAGTTCGTGGACTAGCTTCATAAAATTAAAACCGCTTCAGGCACATAAATGAATTTTAGAATATCTAGTTGGCATCATTTTTTCTATCTAAAGAATAAACCATAAACCATAAATTTTATTTTTTTAATAAATTAGTAATGTTTTTGTATGCAATGGTATGTCCAGGCGGCGCAGCCTCGAACACGACTTTTTTGCGACCTATGTGTAACTGAGAAATACTCTTTTGATATGTTTATATGACATCCAAAAATTTCGTTAATTCAGGTATTTTTTCGAGATACAATTGTTCCATCAAATATGAAAATTTCACCTCATTCTGGAAATTCTATGAAATTTTATCGTATATCTTACACGGAATGTCCAAACAAATGAGGCCTTGAAAATGACGTCAAAAGAGGGGAGGGGTTTCCGTTTCCAACATTCTATAAAGTTTTGCCCCTGAAAAAACTAGTATAGACCTAAAATATGTTGAAAGTAGCTACAGAGAAGTAAAATGCATCCATATTACTTGTCTTTTAATGTCAAAATAGATTCAGAGAGTAAAGGGATACACAGTTAATGTCGATTTGCAGTCAAGGTGTGAAAAATTAATCACGTCAAAAAATGACATTGATCATGTATTGTAAATATTGAACTCCCAAAACCAAAATATGCCAGTACAATCAAGCGCGGATCTCTCCCCATGTATTAATCCATTTGGAATATTGTATTCAATGAAGGCCACTGGTCATGGCATTGTAAAGTCATATAAACAAGGCTGGTTTAAGTCCTTACTCAGCTCCAGGCAATCTCACCAAAAAAGTGTATGAGGTAGAAGAAGCGGACATTGAAAAAACAATGACGTTATCGAACGTCATGGAAATAAATGACGACAGCGCCGGGTGATCATATCATGTCGTTTTCATTTTATAATAATTTGGCAAATAATGACGTATCAGGCTAAATTTTTCAACATTTCTTTATTTTGTGTTGTTTTATGTTCCATATAAATTTTGAAAGCACAGACTACATAGTACTAATTTTATAGCCTCAACAACTTTTTGATAACCCCTCGTATGTCCTGAGTATTTATCTGTTCCTTTATTATATTTATATATTCTTGTCGCTTCTTTCCTTTTTGTTAAGGTAATAAAGAGGATTGTCACTGAGATTCTTTACAAGGTTCGGTACATTACCTTATCACAATAATCTGTCTTTTTTTTAAAAGTGCAAATCAATTTTGCGAAAGAACTAAAAAATAAATTCAATAAACCACCCAATGCTTGGTAACTCTGTATACTTTCATTATTATATAAGACAGCGTTGCACAAAAGCGGGATTTGCAGGAAGAAACCTCTTTTTGTCGAATCATTTTTCCAAGAAAAACTTACTATACTTGGATAAGAGACAACTTTAGGTCTATAGACTTTTAAAAGTGGGAGAATCAAGTAAAACCCTGTCTGGAAAAAAGGTGTCAATCCTAGTGGCTGTTCTAATCCAAGAAAAAGCTTTTTTTTCATAATATCAAAGGCTTAATACAGTAAATCTGTAATTTTCATCCCCTCGCAGCGAAGTTTGAAGGGGAGGGGATACAATTGTTGGTCGACGAGTGCGCGCGTAATGGGTGTTACGCAAGTAAAATATCATCTGGGTGTAGATATGCACTTTTACGAGCTGATCCGCCACTTTACTTTTGTATTCAAATGTCATATTTAAAGGTCAAATTCAAAGGTCATGCAAGGTCGTAAATCCATACATTCTGTATGTGTGCAAAACTTTCATTTCGGGTAGACATCTCAAGAAAATTTGAGTTTTTGTAATTAAATTTTATACCATAACTCCCTATGACTCCCCCTGCCCTTCTTAAAGTGTCCCCTCGACCCCCTTCACCCCCCAGGTCAGCACATTTTCTTTTTTCTTTAACAGGGCACACAGATTCTTTGAATAATTTTCCTTTTTCATTTCGATTACATAAAGATAGATAATTTGAAGAATTTGTTCTATTTTTGTTAGCTTATATTAAACTAAAAAAACAAAACAAAACAAACAAAAGCACGGGTAACATTCGCAGTAATCAAACTCGAACGTATTAGAAATCAGTAATAATTTTAAAAATATATATTACTTGATGTACATGAAATACCTCTATAATTATATCCATTTAAGTATAAAGCGAATAGTTGTACATGTAAATCTAATGTATATTTTAATTAACACAAATTTTCTCATTGTGTTAGAGTATAGATAAACACAATGCGGATATAAGTACTAGGATTAGGTATTTAAAAAGTTAAAATGAATTATTCAAATATCCCGTACACGTATTAGCACGCCATGCCATTTCGCTGAAATACCCGAAGTCCTGGAATTCACCGTACTAAAGGTATTTAAAGCGTTTGTTCCTGAAATAAAACTCTCAGAAAGGAAAATTGGCGTGAACAACCATACAAGGACTAAACTTTAATTTTGATTCATATTAAAAAATAAAAATAAAAATGAGGAAATCGACGAAGAAATCTACAAGAACAGAGACAGTGAACGGGAAGACCATCACCACGACGATAGTAGAGGAAACAGTGACGTACCCGGACGGGCGGGAGGAGACCACCGTCACAGAGACAGTCCAGGGGAATGACGGGGGACCCCAGGAGTCGGTCAGCAAATCCACAAGACAGGTGGAAGTAAGTCGACAAGCGCCATTATGTAATATAATTAAAATTAAAACCAAAAAGCTCTTTACAGTTGCTGTCGTTTAAAGGTATGTAAGTTTGAATTTCTCATATTATTTTTTTCATTATTTCAAAATAGCATTTCTATCCATATTGTATAAGAAGTATGTTTTCTAATTGTGCTATTAATAAGTTTTTCTAAAATAAAATCAGTGTTTGTGTGAAACCGCGAAAATGATTCCAGATGAAAATTAAAATTGTTTTCATTTCATTAATCAAAATAGCATTTCAACTAAATGCTTTTCCCTCCGTTAAACATGATTTCAGCAAATGCGCTTTGTTGAAACTAGTGTTGTCAAATCGGTTGAAACTCAGAATCGATTAATCGGTAACATCTGTTGACCCTAACCGACTGATCATCGGCCAATAATCGAATCGGTAACCCTTTGCATAAAATAGGCATTAGATTTTATAAAAATTAGAATTTTATTGTTAAATAATGTAAGAAAGGTGCATTGTACAGATCCAAATTCTAAAAACAGTATATATATGCAGTTTGATTAACGATTTCAGTAATACAGATTTTTGCATGATTGTTACTTGTGCATTGACAGATCAGGTTTTAATTTACATGATCATCTAAAATGTATATGGAATTAATTTTTTAAACTGTTATAAGACATTTAGTATTGAATATTCCTTGTAATTCCTTATGAAATGACAAGTGAATTCCCCCAAATACTGAAAATTAATATATTTTATTTAAACAAGTAGTTTAGTTTCTTCATTTATACAAATATCATTATCTTTTGATTTATTTTAAACAGATTTTAAGTCCATGTATTTTAAAATAGTAAAGGACAACTCTTGAAAGATATATATTTTGATAATCAAGAGCCTGTTCTTGAAATAAAGGTGAAAAACTGTAAAAAAGATATGTGCTGAAATATACCTTAATCGATTGTTAAAATCATGATTTCAGACAGCCTTTCCGAATGCGATCATTGACAACACTAGTTGAAACACTGTTTATCTTTTTTTAAATGTGAACAAATTTTAGTTACCACGTGACAAAATGAATAACTAGCATCATCACTGCTGATATTTCAGGCTTCCCCTTCTGCCTCCAAAGCAGTAGGCAATAGCTGTTCAGGACCACAGGAAAACCAGGATCTGGATCAGTGTAATCAAGACGCTTTGAAGAGGCACAACGAGTTACGCGCCAAACATGGCGTACCACCCGTCAAACTGGCTAAGGTAGACTTGAATCTCTTTTCTTCCATTCTTGATCTTTGACTTGAAATACGAATAAAATCCTTTCCTGTTTCCAAATATAGAATCAAAAGACATAAAATTATTTTTACTTTATGTACAGCATGAGTATTTTCAATGAAATATAACTGTTTAATGGTAATTTGAACACTTATGAAATCATCTCTGATGAGAAAGCCATATTTTCTAACAGGAAGGGGAAAACCCTTAAGTATACTGCATGGCACATGTGTAAACCCTTCAATATACCCAAACTCAAAATCTGGTCATTTTACGGATGTTTTTGTTTTATTTACCATAGGATCTACAAGAATATGCACAGAAATGGGCGGAACACATGGCCCAAAAAGGCAGTTTAAGCCACAGCAATTGTACCCTGAATGGAGGAAGATTGGGGGAAAATGTGGCCTTCACGGGTTCCTCAAGACCCACCGACTACGCAGGTATTCTAATAAAATAACACTGTCACACCCACCCCTCCACGGAAAATCTCAGCATGCAGGTATCTTAGCAGAATAACGTCGTGATATGCACCTGCTCTTTCCCCCCTCTTCTTCTGAGAATCTCAGGTGGAAGGCAGATAACGTCCTCACCTGTGTCCTTTCCCTGAGGATCTCAGGTGTTACAAATCCGAAAACAAAAACTTCATGTCATCGATTTGTTCATATTATTGATTTTGTTTGAAATGAAAAACTTTTATAAATGTTGACGATGTAAACTCGTCTACTTCAAGGACTTATCAATAATAAATGAAGGCAATTGTTAACACACTAAAGCACGTACGTTTTGTTTTTATCGAGGATTATAGCTAACCCCAACACCAATATAAAACAACACAGATAAAATACTTGACTGAGGATTCTCTGTTATGACCAAAAAATAAATTATAACGATAGGTTTATACACTGTTTACAATATTCGTGCACAAGAGTATACGTTATTTTATCTAACAGAAAGTTTCCAGTGAAAAATATTTTAAAAATCTACTGGGTTTAGTTCAATGTTTCGCAATGTCAATTACATGCGAGTAAAAATGTATCAATCTATGTAAATGTTCCACAGAACAAAAATATACTTGAATGCATATCGTTTGAATTATTTCTTATGTCATTATGCACTAATGGTGTATTTTTAAATCATTAGCTTTAATTTCATATCCATTCAACAAACAAGAAACCCTTCGCTTAATCTTCATTTTTATACAATAATTATACATATAACAAACCAATAAAATGTGATATTGTCACCAAATGCCACTCTGCTTTCTGAGGAGGGAGATCACAATGACCTCTCCTCGTTGTAAGAAGTCAAAATGTTGGGAGATGAGCTTTTCTTTAAATTCTTTATATTTTTTTAAGAGTGTTATTTACATTGTAACTTAATATTACAGAAACGCGATCAAGAGCAATTCTATATAACAAGTATACCGGTGTATTATAACATTAAGTATAATCACAAAAATAACAAAAAGTCAGGGAATTTTAAAAACGTGTTTTCCCTCAATGATATTTTTTTTTATCTACATGGGAATTACCCTGAAAGATTAGAAAATTTTATCTGCTTCTTGAATTGTGATAATTTGTCATTTGTTATGTAAATGATAATTTTGTTATTCAGTGTTCAAAGGATAATTTCAGCAATTTTAATTTTTCAGGGAAAGATTTTACAGACTCCTGGTACAGTGAGATTAAAGACCATAACTTCGGCAAGGACCATCAGCCCGGAACAGGTAAACCATGACCCCCACCCACAAGCCTGGAAAGGTAAATTATGACTGTCTCCGACAACCACAAAACAAGCACCCCCCAAAACACACACACACTAGAACCACCAGTCTTCAACAGTTTAACTCTGAACCCCCCTCCCCCTTCCAAGTGTGGAGTAGATAAATTATTTTAAAAAAGACTCCTCCCATTAAGCCAGAGCAGGTAAATTCTAAAAAAAAAACCCTCTTTCCCCAATATCTACAATTACCAGCCTGGAATAGGTACATATTCCGACAAACCCCATACCCTCCACCATCAACCTGGACGAGGCTAAATTTGATAGAACCCGCCTCCCTTATTACCATCAGTCTAACAAAAATAGGTTATTCTGAAAGACCCCTCCCCATTCTTAGATTCATCTTGCAGAAATGTCTGTATGTTCATCAACCCCGCCCTAATTTGGTATGGAAGTACTGTTTGTCCTCTTCAAGTGAGAAATTAGAGCCTTAAATATTTGCATTTAATTCTTGGGTCGAGTGGTTTTCAAAGAACTCATATCATATGTCATCAGATATATATATAGGATCTCTTTACATGTTTAGCTATAAGTATATACAGATGGATATTAGTAAGTGAAGATGCTTAAAGTTCTGTGAAACTACAAAATGATATTATCGTCACTCTTTTGGCACACATCTATATATGAAATACAACACTAAGCAAAATTAACATGCTTTAATTAAAATAATAGCCAAAATAAAAACAGTTCAACTTCAAAGTGGACAATCGATATTCATGACTGCAAAAAACGTGTGCAAAGTATAAAAGTATTTTATTAAATGGACGTGTTGAATAAAGAGAATTTAAACTCCCCAATATAATGACTTTATGGGTAATATTTAATTAAAGAATAACACAGACGTTAAAATAGCTTTAAAGACTCAGCCAACAAGGGCATTTAAAATTTAAAAACACAAAATCAGAACAATTGTACAAGAGATTAGAGGAATTGAATGGGATTTCTGGAACTCGGTAAGTTTTGGACGTGCTAACTTGTTCATCAGTATTGCAATTGTAATATGCATCATTGATCCTATTGAAGCTTAATCATCTTTTCAACGAATTCTAGATCCTTTTTTCAAAACATATCTCATTTTATATCTATTGATTTAATTTAAACCGTAAAAAAACCCCTGAAAACTTTAAAGCTAATGCAGTAAGAATTATTTTCGTAGTTACTAGTGGTAAATTAAATCCACAGAGATAAGGGCCAGAGTACTTTATGGCTTCAGGGAGAATGTTTAGGATGTTTCAAACTAAATTCATGTAAATAAAAAAAACTGTGTAATTTTGAGTCGAGTCAGAAGTCTGATTCTATCTCGCCCTTCTTTGAAAATCGCTATAAGGTACATATACGCCGTCAAAATGTAGATTTGTGCAGATATCTTAATAAAATGTAATGTATTGCAATTTTTCGTTGGCCGTTCACTTGACAATCCAGAATAAGAAAAAGAAAATATAAAAATAACAACCATTTGGTGTCTTTCAGGTCATTTTACTCAAGTTGTCTGGAAGGGCACTACGGAAGTCGGGTTCGGGAAGGCAAAATCTTCAGACGGATGTCGTGTGTATTGTTGTGGGAGTTATCGCCCGCCCGGAAATATGCTTGGAGATTTCAAAAGCAATGTTTTCCCGCCTAAATAATTATTCACTAAGATTTACGTAGTCACACCATTTGGACATTCCAAATTATCTTCACATCCTTATTTGGATATGGAAAATATTTATATCATAGTAGTACATGTACATGTAGACGAATTAAAATAAGCCATGACATTAACTTTTATCATTTGTTATGCTGTGGGCATAAAAAATTATAAAACATTAGGGCATAAAAAAGACTGGTAGTAAACGTAAACTTTTTAAAAAACTTATATACACTGTAATTAGATCTATTTATTAAAGCACTATATATTTTCTCCATATAAATCTGTGATATTGTTACCTTATAATAATAAATGAATAAAAATCAAAAGACTGAATTTATTCCTTGAATGTTGGTACATTGTACAATGTATTTCAATATGAACAAATATACAGTACATGTACGTCATTGTACAAAAACAAATATCGCATTGAAATGATATAGAAATCAATACCGTTTTTTTAAACATCAAGATTACATTTTGTGTCTTTTAGTGTAAAAAATACTTTTCATAATATAAGTTAAAATAAATACAGGTGTTTGCTCAACATCTGTATCAAGATGACAAAGAATCATTCTGCATGTTCCTCTTCATATTTTCCAAGAATTAAAAAAAAATTTAATTTAAAATGCATCAACAAAACTTGAAAATGACACATGCAACAATTTTCATACAATAAGAGGCAAGTCTTTGAAGTCTTAAAAAGAAAATGTTAAATTTGTACTCTATAAAAGGTGAAATCAAAGTACTCAGAAGTACAGAGAGCGGGTGCATTTACAGGCGATAACATATTCTGATTTATTTTAAAACTATCAATAATTATATCACTGACAGTGATTTTTCTTAAATTACATTCATTTTGTCAAATTTAATAACCCGGCTTCAAACAGGCCAGTCTTTCCCTCTCCTGCTTTACATTATGTGTAGATGATTTTATCAAAAATCCTTACGCTAATGAAATATGCCTATGAAGTTTTCAAAGTCATTCACAATGTTTATTTTATATAGGCTTTGTTTTTTTTTGTTGCTTTATTTAAACACAAAAGCGACAAAGTAAAAATAACGTGTTTAAAATTCAACATCCTGCCTGCATTCAATTGCTCTTTGAGTAAGCAAAAATTTGAAAAGATAAGATCATATCTTAGATACCAATGTTTATTAGCTTTAAAACCAGTGATTGTCACACACCGATAGCAAAAACCTTTTATTCAGAATACATGACGGAAATAGAAAACAAAAAATACAAAATAAGTATAAAAATCATGACAATTTCTCTGTATACCTTGATATGTATCGTTTTTTTTAACTAAAATATATTTGTTGTCAATTTGTAAGGGAAAAAAAGTCCACTTCCTTTTTCTGTATGAACATTGAAGATTTGACAATTTTCCCTGTATAATATGATTTACATTAATCATTTACTTTAAAGAAATACTGTGGATAAATTTACATAAATTTGTGGATTCAGACATACTTTTATGAGTATGTTTGATTACTTAACTGCTATTTTTATAAATCTGAGGATCGGACTACCTTAACAATGGTAATTTCCATTCCTACGTAAACACGATATATCCGTATGAACGGTTTTCTTTTGTAAAAGAATATTTTACTGAAAAAGACGTTATCAAAAATGCTAAATTAAACGCGATGACTTTAACTTCTCTATCGTCAACTTCCCTTATGCAGCAACATACCTTCATCAAATGCATATATATATTTTGATTTGATACCTTGCTTACCCAAATAATGAGGTAAATTATTGACAAGCAAGTTGATGAAACAAAAATATAAGCATGTATGTCATTTCTTTAAAATTTTTTTTTTAAAAAGTGCGTTTTCATTTGTTATTTGTGATACGCAGAACACTTTTTTCAGTTTTTCCTGATCATGACAATCACACGGCGGGTGTGACCGGAGAATGCTCATTCTCCATGGCACCTGAACCTCTCAAGGTACAAGTTTGCTCTGCTCCTATTTGGTATTGTTTTATGGAGGTGCAACAAGATCAAAAGAAAATGTTAAATTTCTAATTACTAGTATATGACTGTGAAATTATATCAGATGGCATTTCTTAAGTTACATTCATGTGACATTGAATAATCGGGTATTCTCTTTTCCTTTTGATTTTGAAAAAGTTTTGAAAAAATGGTATAAACTTTGAAAAGTTTTCAATGTTTTATTCTACTCTTCTGTTACTGAAAGAATCAAAATTGTTGATATCCATAAATTATGATGTATAAAATTAACATAAGAATGAAAAATGGATATCGTTGGGTTTGTCATAATCGAGTACACAGGAAATTCAGTTACCAAGCTATAAACTTAGCTTTCAGGACTGTCTGAAGAAATAACCACTACCCATAATAGATCTCTCTGAAAAATTTATCGACAAAATTCGACTTTACAAATATTTGACAATGTTAATATTTCAGTAAATTTTATCAAAAAGTGACGAATACCTGTACAGCGCAAATGCCAACAGTGGGCAGTATCATTTCCCCAGAGTACCGGGATAAAAAATTCCAGATTTTTTCCAAACATCCCTATAGAAAACCAAAAAAGTAAAAATTGCTAATTATTCTTAATATATATGAAATATGGTAGAAGTCAGATGAGTTCAAAAGAAAAACATCATCCATCACTTGAAATTTTATGGAAATTTATGCATAATTTAATTATTTTAAAAAGTTTTATTAATTGTAGTGAAAGTAGGTTTTCTCTGAAAATATGTGTTTTCAATTTTTCACAAGGGGTGATTTCTGTGAACAGGTAATCTGCATTTAAACTAGAAGAGTATAAAATAACAAGTATCTTTGATTTCACCTCAAAATAATGAGTGTCTTCTCGATGAATGGGATACTTTGCGCATGCGCCTGGCTCAAAGCTTGTCGTCCTTGATGCACTGTTGCAACAAACTAAAGGCGTTTGTAAGTTGCTTAACAACAAAGTTTGATTAAATACTTGGAGTGTAAAATCTCGACTGAATCGAGAAAACTCGAAATCTCTACCACTGTCCACGCCACAACAAGAAAACTGAAAATAAGCAAGTAAAATGTATGATACTTCTACGTATACAGCTGATAGAGGATGTCTTTATTATTTTATTTTGCTTCGTATTGTTGATTTTCTTTATATAGATTAAATTAAATATTTCTTTGAGTGAAAAGGCAGGGTATACATTGATGTTTTCTTTTTATAATACCACAAATGAAAGTTAAGCAACTGTATTAGATTACTTCAATCTAGAGTACTTTCCTTCGAAAAGAAATCTCTTTATTTACCTTAAATAAATTGAAATTGAATTAAAGTCCATTGAACCTGAGATAAACCTTACCTTGATCATGACCATATTCCAGGTAACAGAGACGGAATCCCTGGCTAGGTCCCCCCGGTATCGGGATTGTAATGACGTCATAAGAGGGTCTCTTATCCACCCCTTTACCTGGAAACAAACAAACAAACAAAAAAAAACAAGGTCGATAGTTATCATAAAAAAGAGAGATGCATTTCTTGAAATATGTTATATATTTACACATGAATAAAAAGAAGTTTTCTTGTCACATGTCACAGTTTTAAAGTGAGAGATTTGTTAGTCCTACTGGATGTTTAATGATCCTCCAATCAAATTAAGATTTAGAAATCATTTTAATTTAATTTGTTTAATAGGGTACTTACTAAATCCGCTCGTAGCGAGGAAGTGATGATGAGAGCGGTTTTGGCCACAACAAGGATTCCTGTAATCACGATATACTAAAAAGATGCAGGAAAATTTGAATAATTAATCCGTTTCTATCAATATACATCCCCCAAAACTCGAACAATATAATGTTTGAAAATGGCTTACGTACAATTGCTATAAGCCATAATTTGTTGCTGTAGAGCCCGGAAATACCGAATAGAACCGGAAGGAGTAAAATAAATGTAGTAACAAGAAGCACCAATGATAAACCCTGCAGAACGTCGGTTGTGTCATATGATGTGATTATATTTCTGTAATCTTCAGTATCTGAAAAAGAATCACATGATGGTGTTTGATAAACTGTTTATGAGCAATTTGTTTCAAAATATTTTCAGTACAGTACTTGCAATGTTTGATAAGACGTTAACCTTGGTTATATTATCTGTTTATTAAATGAAATGAGTTTCAGTGTCACTCAATCAAATTTATTTTTCTAAAATATAAATGTTATAATTTACAAATACACAATGAACATCTATCATGATTAAAATATGAACAGAAACCTAAGTTTATTAATATCAAACTGCTTTTTATGGTTGATAATAGTATTTCCCCCATATTTTGAATTGATGCATTTTAAGGCATATAACTCATATATCAAAAGTGTATAGTTAAATATAAAAAAAATTGATATCATCTTATATGGCTTGATATTGACTACATGTACACCTGTCCAGTTGAGGGTTGACTCACCACTGACTAGCTGTATCTCCGTGAGGCCGAGTCTGACAGGTGCGAGGTAGTATAGTATGAGTCGCCTGATGTACACCTTGTCAAACCTGACAAACAGACACGCTACACAGCAACCCACTCCAATCAGCTAAATATCAATGATTACATGTATATAAATATCAATACTTTTGTATGATTAAAACGTATTTTTGTCGAAAAAAAATGTTACATTTAAAGTTTTATTTCATTAAATATTGACATCAAGTCCATCACTATACCTTGAAATTGAAATCCTCGTATTTGAAGTCTGCCAATTAAACCGTTGACATTAATCAGAAAAACTTTTTTTATTTTCAATTCTGAGCAATGTTCTAAAAATTTTTCTCCAATGTGTGTATCAATTACCCGTAAGATTAATAGAAATGACATATTTTTATAGCCTTGATTAAAATTTGTCAATTGCACAAATATGTGAAAAATATTTCATTATCATGACAATTAAATTAACAATTTACTTACCGTTTGTAATGCGATGAGAATTAATAAAGCACATTTGACACACTTGGTTGCTGAAGATACATAAGTTAATTCCTTAGTTAAACCAATCTCCTTTGATTTAAATGGCTTTTTAACCGCTGTGTCCATTTTATGTTACATCCTTACATCGGTAATAGGTAAGATCAAATATACAAATACATACTTTGATTAATTACTTAATATAAAGCGATGACTTAGTCACTTTAAATTAGCCATCATACGGAGCAGAGTTGTTTATTGTAAATTGTTGTGAATATTGTTCAGCGTGCTGAATTTTGTAAGTTTTCTTCTTGCACCATTCGTCCAAGTCTGTCCTTCTTGTGGCAAATAGCAAGAAAGCCAAAGAACCAAATTTACAAAGACATTAATTTCCCAAACATAATAATAACAAACACATATGTACCACTTGTGTCATTTTAATATTTTTACAATATTTAATAGCATACATTCAAATAAGAAGCCATACCATTCCGACAAACTGACTTTTAACTGTAATTTTTATTTTATATACCTTCATCACTCAAACTGATTCGTAGCAAATGAACATATCGATTAAAACAACATTAATTTAATTCTTTAATATGAAACAAAAAAATTCGTTATTCCATATAACATACATATTCTATAAAGTTTCATGCTGTTCAAAATGAATAAGTAAAAAAAGATCAGCAAGGAATTACAAAGATGTTTTTTCTTCTTGTTGAAATACATTGTAGAGAATTCATCCAATGTTGGTCATTTGGAATCATATTTCTCTATGTATAGTTTCAAGTACCACATACATTTATTTTAAGGAGTGCACATGTACAAAGCAAGATTTATTTCTTTCTCTTTCTGCCTTTCTCTGAGTCCACTTTATTTTTTTTGTCCATACCCTTGGCGATGTATATCGCAAAGAAAGCAAGTACAAGCTAAAAGGAAAACCAAAATTAATAACTCTGAATCAATTTTGCTATGCAAGTACATTGGGATTAAAATGGATGCTATTTCCTTTAAAAATTTGCAATTATTTCCTTTTTTAAAACAAGAGCAACACAGAAAAAGTTAATTGACCAAATTCTCATTAACCTTAAATACAAAAACAACAGAAATTTGACCATAACTTTTGTAAACATTTGGTTGTTTGGAGCAATGGCTTTAACATTTCACATGTTTTTCCTGTATACTTTTTATTCAATTTGTATATTTGACTATTTGTTGTGAAAAATTTAAGAAATAAATGACCCTTTGTACATTTGGTGATATTTTTACTTCACTTGTTTTAACTTTTGTTGTAACAATTTTTGGATATTTAAAAAAAATAACTTTGTCCTTAGCTTTGAAATAATTTGTGCTTTTATATTTTACAGGTGCATTGCTTGTGACAAGACCTTTCTGGGAAATCAACGATTTTGCCCATTTATTAACATTGACCTAGAAATTTGATCCTCACTGGAAAAGTAAACCGTGGACATATCTTTTGAACAGTATGTATTTAGGCTTTATAGTTCCTAGTTATTTTTAATACAAGTCCTTTCTTTACATTTTCGATCTTTTGACCTTGGAGCTAAGCTTACTTCGAGAAACTTCGTCAAAAGCTGTCAAATGAGGGCATCAACATTAAAAAAAAATGTTTTGATTCTTCCATATCTTTTGGATACCCTGTTAATAAAATGAATTAAGATTTTTCTTCTCTCAAAGTAGAGATTTTTTTGTTTTCTTTTAACTCGTGTTTGTAATTTCCTTCTTTGATAATGAATTAAAGCGACATAACAAACCTCCAGGCCTATTAGTCCGCCGACACACCCCACTACAATGTTGACATACTTCTCTAGATACCTCCACACTTCATCATAACAACCCTGGAAAGACAAAGGGGGTAAGAACGATTCAAATTTAATTTCACATCCTCTTTGATTACTGGTATGATGGATGAAACAAATATACCTATATTCTAGCAAAACAGTCGTAAATTCATGTTGAGAAGTACGGTTGACTTGTTCTTTGCTTACTTTCTCGAAATTTGATTTTAGCCGCGTTAGAGGTTGCATGGCACATCTCCACCAATTATTGGTCGACTTTGACCTTTCAGCGTTTGTACAGCACATAATGGGTGTGTCTAGTCGTGTAAGATTATGAACAATATCAGCTGTAGGTGTCTTATTCCATACCCCGCCAGTAAAATCCTTATACACCCCTACTAATGTTATTGTGATTTAAATTCAAGACACGTGGTTTAGGTTGATCTATTCAAAGGTTATAGGGTAGAACCGGTTTTATAAATAAAATTGGCAGTAAACATGATATTGCTATAGCCTGTTTCTTTTGAAAACATGTCCTGTTATAAATGTTTCCAGCCCTTTCTGAAAGACTTTCATGATTTTCAACTGATAAAGGGTGGCTAAAGTAGGGGGTGTTAAAATAACAATATATCTTATACTTTTCGGCGAAAATTAAAGCTCACTAGTGACCGATTCGCTGGTAAAAAATCTGCACTATCATCTACACTGACAAACTTTATTTGCCTTATATGGCTATTGTTATAAATGCGCAAAGAGGATCTTACCACGAGCAACTGACCAATCGTTGAATGAATAGCAACGTTTACGACAAATACATGTTTACATTTTACTTCGAACACGTAGTTCAGGTCAATCTACGATCATGTTAATGGAAGTGCCAAATAAAAAAAATGTTCTTACGAACAAAATATACTGACACGCAAAAGAAACGCAAACCCTATTTTAGGGTGAAATAATTATGCAAAGTAAAGAATTCTGTATCTTAAAATTATGAATATCTTCAATTTGGTGAACATCAGTAAATTAACGGTTGAACGATTTCCATACCATAACCGGAAGTCAAGTTTTAGTCTGCTTAACAGAAATCAAAAATTGCATATTTAATAAAACATTTGGCAATATTATGGAGTTTTTTGGGTTTTTTACTGTTCATCATAAGTAATGCAGCAATATTTCAAAAAAATAAACTCTACTTTCGTTTCCAGAAACAATGCTAAGGCTACTTGAAAATGGCTTTTGTACGCATTGCCATTGCTCTAGCTGGAAAATTTTAATGTGAAGGTGATGGAGAGTTGCTGATGCAAAATTTCACTACATTTCGTCTCAACAGGGTCTTACTTATCATATGCATTAAGGACAGTCCTTGTACCGGAAGTCCAAGGGTGACTACCCTGCTCTAAGTTAGAGAAAATTCGACCTAATTATCTGAAAAACGGGCATTTAAAAATGTCAAAGAATAATTCCTTCGCTGAGATCTCGATATTAATGAACCTATTGTATCGTAGAAATTAAGCTGCAATTGTTGTTTAGATAAGTCTTGCACGTTTTACTTGAATGGCTGGGAGGGGGTGTTTTAACAGTCATATTTTACTTAGTAAAGTTAACAGATCAACATTTAACATTTTTATCAAATCTCTAATGTTCTGAAAAGTGAATTTAGCCGTACTTTATTCGCTTTTGAAAATCATTAGATAAAAAGTCAAACATTTGTAAATTACTACTTGTTGCGTTTCTTTTGCGTGTCAGTATACAAAGATAAGAAACTACGTAGTTTGTGTCTAGTTTAGAACACCAGCGTAAGGCTAAGGAAAACGAGCAGCATCTCTTATGCATTTAAATGGACAAAACTTTATGTTCCTTATCACGTGTTCGGCCAGGGAATTCACCTGGCAATTGTATTCACCGATAGTGCAACAAAGGAATTAAAACAGACGCAAATCACTTGTGCAGTATGACTTTCAGAAACCTAGACTTCCGCCGTTTATTTAACAAATGAATTGTTTGTTATTATAAGCATGAAAGCTTCGCGGTTTACAAAGCGTAAACTGCCCCAACCCAGTTTATACCGTATAAAATGGTTAGCTATTAAATTCATTCCTTAAATATGATTGCCACAACCTAGATTATCAGGTCGTAGTTTATGAAAAACAAGCCAATTTACGGATAAAAAAAAAGCATGCGCAGATCGGGGGAGGGGGTTTATAGGGCGGGCGGGGCCATAGGGAGTTATGGTTTATGACATTTAATTGCAAAAAACTCAAAACCTTCTTGAGATATTGACTGGAAATGAAAGTTTTACACACAGTCACACAGAAGTATGAATTTATGACATTGACGTTTGAACCTCAAAATACACAGGGATATTCCCTACGCCATATATATGGCCGTAGGGAGTTGTGGTATAAAATTTCATTGCAAAAGCGAAAACAAGTGTTTAAACAGACAGAATTTCTGAATTTAATACCTTGACCTTTAACCTCAAAATCAAGAGGGTCTTCAAAAGGCCATATAAGGTGTAAACAGTTGTGTAAAATTTTACTGCAAAAGCTCAAACTTTACGCAATATTGCGGAGAAGTGAAAGTTTTACAGACAGACAGAACTATAGATGGACAGGCAGACAGACTGAAATTGATATTCTCTAATTTCAGCGGGGGACAACAAACGAGCAAGCTTAGCCAGTTGTGTTTTCTTTCCGAAGTATCTGTTGTATGATTTAACAAGTCTGTCCGCTTTTAGCATCGGGATCGAAATGATTTGTAGTGAAAACGAAAGTAAAAGCAGTAAAAACTGAAAAAGCTAAAAATATGTAGTAAAGCAATGTTTGTGCTGGAGATTTAAATACATAAGTAAAATACCTTCAATATATTTTATAAAAGAGCTTCAATTTACGCGTCAAACACTAAATTCACCCAAAAGTAGCAACTGTATGCTTCGCTGCGTAGAACACATGATCAGGTGCGAACCAGTTAAATTACTTCGAACCAGTAAACTGTTTGTATGTTTACAAAAATAAGCATCGGGAAATTCCTTTTTGAGTTGAATTTACAGATTACTTTGGTGTTTAATAGGGATTTATTGGTTTATAATCTTTATTGATTTTACTGAAATAAAATTAGCAGGAATGATTTACTGCAGAACCACTCCCAGAATTCCAGGTCACGCAAGCGCATTGGAAGTTCTTCGTACCATAACTAGTCAGCCCGCGGGCTGACTAATCATACTAATTAAATGGTTTATATTATATATGGTTTGATAATCCTCGTTGGTTTTCAAAAAAAATTAAGATAAATATTATCTAAGGTATATATTACCATATAAAGGGCACACTTAGATTTGCAGCTGATACCATAACAACCCCAGAAAACAATAAAGAGCAAAATAGCACCAAAAACAATAAAAACAACAGCAGCTTCGCCTAGCAACTTATCAAGGTCAAGGTTATCCAAAAAATCCGACGATGATTTGTGGGTAGCTACAACGAATGAATAAGATTCCAATCTGTCGTGTTATATGTGTAAGACTCTAAAGTCCGATGGTGACGCCAAAGTCCGATGGTCTCGCAAAACCCCGATGGTCTGCGCCAAACCCTGATGGCACTCTGTCTTTACCGACGCCAAAGTCCGATGGTCACGCCAAAGTCCGATGGGTCGTTTCCTATTATGCACGTTGCGCTAAAGTGCGATGGTCTGATACGCCAAATTCCAATGTTGCGGAGAAACAATCAATGTTTATGACGTCATAATAAATATTACGTCAATCCTTGACGCCGTATTACCATATAAAGGGCACAAATACAATTTTATTGATTTTACTGCAGCTGATACCATAGCAACCCCAGAAAACAATAAAGAGCAAAATAGCACCAAACACAATAAAAACAACAGCAGCGTCGCCTAACAACTTTTCAAGGTCAAGGTTATCCAGAAAATCTTATTTATCTATACTTATTTTAAAGACCTTGATGATTTGTGTGTAGCTGCAAAACGTTAAATTTCCGCAAATTAAGATTTTTGGCGCATCTGTCAATTATCTGTAACATTGTAACATATATATGAACATTTTTTTAAAAACCTCTTTTTGCATTCTGATACCTTTTAAGATTGGCACTACCTTCTTTACGAGTTCATTCATCAACTCTGGTAACATGGATTTGAGGTCGTCAGATCCGTACTTCACAAACATCCCTCCCACAAAACAAACCAGTCCAACCAGCTGAAAAATATTTCATTGATTATAAAAATGTAAATCTGTAAAGAAAAAATGATGATTAACATACCTTTAAAAATACATATTTTCTATTAAAATTAGATATATCTACTAATAAGTCCTACGCAACTTTTTCTGTTTAGGTAGATATGCAAGTAATTTGCTTCTGATTAGAGAAACTGATGTTGCAGCTGCTTATAGTAGATAAATGCTTTAGACTCACTCCTTATAATTCATGTCAACAAGATGCATTCAGTTATATTATGTATTAACTAGCCTTGCATTGAAAAAAATAGCACTAATACATCAAGGAGTTAAAAAATTATGAATTAAAAGGTTAAACGTTATACTCTTTCGCCCTTATCAGATGGTTTGTAATAATTATCATTTCAAATCTATCGTTGACCCTGCATATGGCGATAAAATTTGAGTTTTACATTTAAATTTGGACTTTATACAATGTACATATTTCCTTGACTTTTCAAAGATAAAATTGTCATTAAGCATTTAAAATCTCATATTTCATTATTAAAAAATGTAAAGAAAAACTGATTACGCTCGCCTTTGAAAAAACTGCTACAAAAATTAGATACCTCCACTTTATATACGTTTCTTGTACAATTTTCTGTTAAGATATGATAATTTACTTCTGATTAACGAGAAATTTATTCTTCAAAATAACATCAAATATAAATATACTGGATGTTAAAATACACATATCAACTCCCTTATTTTTTTTTATTTTAATTGGCCATGTATGAACAATGATAAAAGTGTTTGACATAATGAACCACACAAATGAATAATGTTTTCTGGTGCATTTTAAAAATACAATCAGAATCTTGTTACCTATTCCTAAGAATGTTTATTCCAACTACAGGCACCTGATTTCATCCCTGAGATTTCCGACGGTTCCTGTCTCATGTTCTGTTTATGGATTTTTATTCTTTTTAAAAATTTGTTCACGGTTTGTTATCTTCACTAATTCATCAAAATACATTTTGTCCTTTTCTCTACCAAGAGTTTCATCTCTTCACGACAATTTTACAATCGTATTGGCTTCTTTTATCTTTTGAGATGAGATAAAATTTTAATATCAGTAAAATAAATTGCCTTGTTTCAGCACCCCTCATTCGTTTTCATACTCAGGAATAATAAATGAAAGTTGTTTTATATATACAAAAATTAAAAAAAAATCGATACAAACCCGAAATAATCCATTGATAAGTAAAATGATTTGACGTCCACATGTTTTTACTATCGACATTGTTTCACTTTTAATGTAACTTTTCTTCTAGAAAGTAAAGAAAGTTTAAAATAAGAAAAATATCAGCATATTTTCTTATGGTGCCATAGGCGAGAAAGACAACTAAAGATTATTTCTTCAGATTTTTAATCGATGGAATACAAGGACCTTGTTATTGGTTTAAGTAAAGACGAGTACGTGTAACATCAAACATAAACCCCTCCATTAAAGCCCCCCCCGAAGGAAAACCCTGTCAAACTGGCCATATTCTCCGGCAATCTCCCTAAGACACGTTATCTACCTTTATCCAGTAATGCAGCATTTATCAAAATCCCAGCAAGATCATTTTAATAAAACGTTTGATAGATAAATGTTTTAGCAACACACATTGCAAAAAAGTAAATAAAGGGACGGTAGCCGCAACCGTTTGTCTAGTCACATAGATATACATCTATCTTTTGAACATCATATATAAGAACATGAAGAAGAATTTTAACATTTGAATTTTATAATAATCAAAGGAACTTGGATAAAGTACAACTGTTTCTAATAATGTATAAACCAACATGCCCGGTTTTATGCATGTAAATTTATCAATGAAAATTACTGAATATCCCTACGTTGATAAGCTATATTCCTTTGAATTCTATATAAAGATACCACAGAGTCTGACACGTCTGTTTCATGTTTGGATATTTGCTAGAAAAGACGTCAATGGTAAAGTAACAACAACAGTTTAAGATGGTCATTGCATCGACCATAGAACTTACGAAATGATGACTTAAAACGAGAATGCTGATATAATATTCACTAACTTATTGGTTATTAGTTTGTCTCGATTTAAAAAGTTATCGTATGTAGAGCATGCTCTTACATATCGAATCAACTTGAAAACAGAAAACCCAGAAGGCATGTGATGAGGATACATGAACATAAGTATGGACAGTTGACAATAGAAGGTTTGAAATCATCAAGTTTACCATAAATATCAATTGTTAGGCTACCATTTAAGTTTTTTTGTACTAAATATCCAAATATGAAATAGATGTATATGTCTTTTATTTCAATTTCACTGGGATATGTTGTATCGACATATTAATATTTCTTCAGAAAATATTATTGATATTACGTCGTCGACGTATGTAGTGTCGAGTTAAGGGTCACAGCAACAGGTTCGTGTTAAAGGAAGGATATGGAGATAATGAACAGTATTCAGTCTCCACAAAACAATACAAAATAAGAGCAGAGCAAACACGGACCCCCGAAACATCAGAGGTGGGATCAGGTGCCATGGAGGAGTGAGCATCCCCTACCTACCGGTCACACCCGCCGTGTGCTCCTTAATTGTCATGATCAGGAAATAACGGAAAAAATCCGTCGACAATTCAGTGTATAAATAATGGACTAACAATTGGTATGAAAAAAATCTTTATTGTTAAAACAATTACGTTGTCAGCAAATTCAATCCATCATCAATACGAATAGTGACTGACGTTTATCATAACATTAGAAGGCCCCTTTCCACTGTATTATTTAGAAATTTTCGGTTTGTTATGACAAGGAAAACACTACGGGTGTGACTAGTCGATAGGAGTGTTTACTCCTTGATGGCACCTGATCAAACCTCTGATTTTGAAAGGTAAGCCATAGCTCTGCTCCCAATTTGAATTTATTTGCAGTACCTTTGAGCTTGATTTTTGTTTGTCTTCATATTTCACTTTGATTCATACTCAGTCGTCTTGCATTTCGTAACAATATCATAAATCCCCCCATCAGTTCTTTATTAGCCCAGCGAAGAATCCATGCAGGCATAATTAGGTTCAATGTTACGTCAACATGAAATTAAGATAAAGTTAAATGTTTTTTTTTTTCCATTAGGCAAGACTATATTATAAAGTGAAAAGGATGCTTCTCGTTTTTACCAATGCTTTCTATTAGTTGAGCTTGGCATTTCTGGCACTTTTTTGCAGAATGAGTCAGACACAATAAGAAACAGTAACAATAAGAACCAGATTTGTTTTACTGTTAAATTCTTGAAAAAAATTGATGTGATAGTAGTGTTCTTTTAACGTATAGGTAAATACAAAGTAAATAGTCTCAATATTGTCCAAATAAAAGACGTTTCTTTTGACATTATTGTTAATAAGAAATACCGGTATTGAACGAGTTAAAGGAAAATCTCGAGTTGTTAACAATATATACCCGTTAACGTTAATTTTTCCATATTCAATATATACACAAATTTACAATTCAAAGTAATATGAGCTGCATTTTTGAAAATTTTATTTTGCTGTTAAAATATGTTATGATATAGTTTTATATGTAACTTAAACCTTTATATGATCAGATTAAAATAAAGCAGAAAAAAGACTTTTTTTTATACGATCCAAAATGTTTGATACAAGAAATCATTATTGTACAGGACGACAATCATGTAATTTTGATTCAGTCGAAGCTTATAGAGTTCTTCCATCGCACATATGAACAACAGAAGTTTGCTAACGTTATTTTTTTCTGTCATTGAAGTACAGTTAATTCTCGATAAACCGCCACCTTTTGTAATTTAGAAATCATGGCGGTATAACGAATTTGGCGATGAATTGAATTTTCTATCTTTTAGGAAAATAGACGTAGAGTTATTGTTCTTAGAAATACCATTTAGCGTTTCTATTCTTACTTTCATATGTACATGTATATAAAACATATTTCTAACTTTGAAAATACCTCTAGTAATTTTTTTTATGTAAATTTCGCTAAAACAAAATATTTAGTTATGAAATAAAGACAAGTACACGTGTATGCATGTAAATCTGCGCGTCTAATATTGAATAAAAAAATGCTGGGTCGATCATCGTGATATATTGCCTATAGTATCTAAAATGAGTCCTTGAATAAATTCATTGTTTATGTCTTCATTGTTAATGAAACGTTCCCAATTTCTGACTTATAATTATTTTGAAGCAAACTTTGCATTGCTTTTTAAAAGCAGAGATAATCAAAATAATATCGTTATCGGCGTACTTTACAACGACCGCTTTCGTGGCGAAGCCTTAACTAAATGATTTTATTAAACAGAAAACAAAATTATTCTAACAGTTCACATTAAAATTATTGTTTACTTAATTGCATGTTCCTTGACTGGCTTTGCATCACAGGATAGCGTCAACCAATTAGCCGCACTTCACTGACCACATTCACCTGTGGCGGTATTATCGAGATAATTGACATTTAAAAATGGACGTTTGTTTTGAAAACAGGGTGGCGGATGGCGGTATGCGAATTTGGCGTTATAAAGAGAATTTTATATAGCAGGAAAAACGTTCTTGGGAAATCATGGCGGTATTGCGAAAATGGCGATGAATCGAATGGCGATAATTCGAGAATTGACTGTAGTTATTTAGTCTATATTTAAAACTTTGCAACAAAAAAAATCGACATCAAAGTTGCAGCTCATATTGCTTTAAATAATGTCTAGGTTATTGGAGCCAAATATACGGAAATAACGAACAGTATTCAAGCTCATAAGTCCATAAAAATACAAAACAGGAGAAGAGCAAACACGGACCTCCAAAACATAAGAGGTGGGGTCAGGTGCCATTAAAGAGTGAGCATCACAGCAGATAAGCAATCAGACGTAATGTATGATATCAATTGAAAAAATTTAAAAAACTGCATTTAAAAGCACTGAACAATGAATTTTACATTAATATTTATTGAAAACATCGATACAAACAATAAATAAAGAGAAAAAAGACAAGTCTCTACCGCTCCTCAATTTGCAGCAACCCTAAAAAGGAAAGTAAAAATTGTATATTCATCTGCACATCACAATCACAAGTGTAGGTCAGATATAATATTTTTGAGAATGAGAACGAGCACTTACCAGGCTTGATGTGATTGAGAGCTTGCTTTGCCCAGATAATGGCGTCCTGCATGGATTTACGTCTGTCCAGAATGTCAAGGAGAGGCGTGGCATCCAACTCCTTCTTCTTGTCGTCTGAAAAACAAGAAAATAAGTTGTTAATGTCAGTACTTACTATTTCTTTTCAAAGAAAGGTAATACATCTACCCTTAATAAATATCTGTTCTAAAATCTTGATTTGTTCTAAAATATCAATTAACGGTGGTCTGTATATAATTCATGTAGGGCTGAAAAATATAAATACCATCAGTGGCGAGTGTGACTAGTTTACAACCAAATATCTGGATATCAACGTTGTCTGGAAATCTACCCATGATATCAATCACCATGGATATATCATAACATTCCAGTAAGTTTGCAAGGTCTTCACGGTCTGCAAACAAAAAGTCACTTGTTTACAATGGGCTTTAAGATTCTTACAAACTACCCGACATAAAAAGAATCAAAATGAAACATATACCCGATTTAAGTAAATTTTCTAATGTCATGAAGGCCACAACAATTAGTCTAGGTTCATTTTGGAATCTGTCAAGGATGGATAACAGAGTCCTCATCCCCTCACGTTGTAAGAACGCAATACTTAGTGAGTCTGAAATGAAAAAAATCATGACTTATATCTCCCTAAAACTGAACAACAAAAAGACATCATGTAGATTATGAACAACAGACAGCAAACTTCGTCTAAACCAAAGCTCATTTTTTGCGTAAAAATTTGTAACATTAGGCATAAGTTCCAAGTGTTCGTCAGGAATACTTGTTTTACATATGTGTATCCCTCTGATAGCAGATCACATTGCTTTGTGGAGAAAATTACCTTGCTCTTCTGTCATATAACAAAGAGCTCCACAGCATACAATCTGTAGGTCAAGTTCTTCTGGAAATTTCTTCATGGCAGAGTGAATCAGAGATAAAATTTCTGCTGAAAACTTCGAGTGGAATCCATCTGGGAAAAAATTCAGTATTAGATATTTACGATATTTTTTCATCCTTACTCTTTTTCTTTCCGAAGTAAAATCAATATCTAAAAAGGAACAAAACGCTGTTACTCACTCATGGCCAGAGCTGCTAGAATTTTACAACCATAGAACTGTAAATCATAAGTGGTTGTGTTGATATTTAATAAATCCAATAACTTATCAAAGGATCCACCATCCATAAACATATGACAACCACTCACTAGAAAAGGAAACAATACAAAATCTTAAACTTAGTATGTAATTTTATTTCAAACTAGGAAGCATTACAATTTTACAGTGATCATGGGAGTTTTTCCTCAGGAAATACGACTACTAACCATTGGAGACGAGTTTTTCGTAATACTGCACCAGATATACATCTACACTACTGCTGCTACCCTGACTCTCAGACACAGTACTCAGGACTCGCTCTATGTTCTCCAGGTCGCTACTGGGGATACCTACAAAAATAAAACATACTTCTGGATTCCCTTCGAAAAAGCCTTTGAGAAAAATATAGTTTAAAAGAAGCATTTTCATTTTATTGAAGGTAACTAACTTACCTCTTGCTGAAGCCAACTGAATGAGGATATTTCTGATCCATACTTCTATTTCTTGATCAAAGTTGTTCTCCTTTAGTAAGGTTTCTAGAACATCTAGACCTTTGTCCTCGATGAAGTGATGACAGGATGCATCTTCAAAGACAGAGATAAGAAATTAAATTTTGTCATTCATATTGCTCTCTCATCACTAATACTTAATATTGTAGAATCAAATCATAAAAAGTGAAAAGTCTTAAATGTCAAAAATCATATACTTACCAAGTTCGATCAGATTTCCCAGTAATTTTAGCGCTAGTTCTACAACATCCGGGTTATGTGACATCGAAGTTAAACTTGTAATGGCGGCCTGAACACCTCCATTTCTTTCCACAGTTGATTTGTTTCCATAAACTACAAAAGACAATGGAAGATAAAATATGAAGTTATATATCAATGAACTGATGATTTGATGTTACGTCAGATGAAGAGCAGGAACTTAATTTGACATGTTCTTACTTTCTGCGGATAGGTTGGTGAGGGCTATATGCGCATTCTCGTGGATCTTGTCCGAGTTCTCGTGATGTAGTAGCGCTGTGATTATAGTTCTGGAGGAATTCAGTCTCTCTAATACTGTTCTGTTAGCCTCTGTCAATAAGTATATTCATTTAAAAAAAAAAATTAATATTAGAATTTTATGACTTTTTAAAAAAAAAGTATTGCTGAAAATTTTTCTGATTAACAAAATGCATGTATCTTTAAGTTTATTCGTCAATATCTCAAGGTTCTAGGCATAAAAGCTATTGAGTATTCGAGTGATGAACTTACTATTGACCGCTAGTGAGCCTATGATAAGACAGCCATGTTCCTGTATGACAGGGCAGTCAATGTACGTGGTCATTCTCTCCAACAATATCGACACCCTGTTGTCCTGTATAAACTTTTTCTGGATATCTTCTAGAAAATTAAAGAAATTCAATTTATTTTATTATCTGTATTTTTCATGTTGCTTAGAATATTTTAATAAAATTTGTTGGGTACACTGTGCATTCAAAACATTACATGAAAGGACTTTCAAACATTTTTTGAAATTTTAAACTAAGCAAAGACCTGAATTATAAAGGGTGATTGATTGATTGCTATTGAACGCCACCTGAGGGCTTGTTATACCTTATGATTAATGTCACACCAGAGTCACCTTGTAGGATTAAGTCTGTCATACATGTATACTAGTAGTTTATCTGAGCAGCATCAATTGATATGTCTTCCAGTATCTGCTTTACCTGATATTGCCAGTACTGGGACTAAGAAGATGAAGATTTCCTGCTGAAGTTGGAGATTATCTGGGAATTGGGTCAGACACTGACAGACGGTCTCCACAATGGCGGGTAGGGCTAATTCCTGGGCACCCTGAACTGCAAAAAGATAGAAAAATCTTTATCCTAATGCTTGCTTATTAAGATATGTTTAAATAAATCAAACAGAAACATTATGGTAAAGAGTCCAAGGAGATTTACCAGAAGAAGAGATGTTACAAAGTGTGCAGCAACCGTATTCCTGAAGTGTTTCGTCATACTTGTATTTCTTCAGTGTATCAATAATTGTCGAGATCTCATTTTTCTTACATATATGTTCCCCTGCATCAGCTGTAAGATAGTCAATAAGAAATCAAATGATATTTTGTTTTCTGGACACTGGAAATTTTCAGTTGTAGGAATATTCGTCTAAACTTACTACACTTGGTAAGACAAGCCAGAGCCCATAAAGCACACTCTAAAACAGCGGTACTGTCTTGGAAATTTTTAAGAGTTTGTAAAACCACGACGATTCCTCCGGCATTGGAAACATCAGAACTTAGATCCTCTGTAAAATAAAAAAAAAACTTCCTCAAAATTATGTTTGATGGAAAATATCGCTGACTGTGCTGATTTTTTTTCCCACCAGAGATAGATATTTTACTCCATAGCTTACCATGGAAAGAAAAGCTCCCCAAGGCCCTACAAGCGTTCTCGTGAACTAGATCGTCATGTCGGAATCTCTCCATGATTCTTACAATCACGTGTACTCCTCCAATATACATGACATTTTTAGCTGTTTGATCTGGCAACAACAACAAATAAATGTTCATTTAATTATTTTTTTTATTTTTGTTCAGATAAAAAGAATATTTCGTTTTATAAATTGACAAAATATGCACTATAACAAACGTACAATCGTTGGCAAGATTGCTCAGGATGAAGCAACAGTTGCTGACAATTTTGTTGTTGTCTTCATAACGAGACAACAAGGTCACAACACTAGAAGGCACCGCATCCTCAACCAACTTCTCGAGTAGCTCTTCTACAATAAAAGTACAGATGCAAGCTATAGTTTTTTTTTAATTTAAAACTTTAAAGCTCTACAAATTTAATTACAATGCATGATCTTAATTTTGTTTGTAAACTTGTTTTCACTTTCTATTTCAAAGATGACCATAGATCTATGTTTCGTGTCAATTTCAGCACATAGTTCCCTAACAATGCATGTTCTTAATTCTATGTTTTTTAACTTGTTCTCCTGTTTTTAAGATGACCATAGAACAGTCTATCATATTCATTTAGGACACACAATTTCAGTTCCCTAACCTACGGCGGACATGCTTCCCAGGATGTCCACAGCGCCCTCTATGACGTCTATGTTATTGCTGGAGTTCGTCAGTCGCAGAAGCTCTGCTATACCCCCATTCTTCTGTATATGAACACAACTGGCATCTACTCGAAAGGATCGAAAAAAAATAATAAATGAAGGAAGTTGTTCTTCTGGGCACTATAGATTTGTTTTAAATGCTTCAAGCTTGTTTTAAGGCATTATAAGACATGCAACCTACCCGAGGCAGCGCACATGCGTGCTACAGAAACAATGGCGGCGGTGAGTATTTCGGTGTGATTCTTATATGTCGTCAGGGCCGTCATTAGGCAGGTTACCCCCTCATTCTTAGCCAAAAGAACAGACAATGAATCTGAAAAAGTCACTGAACATTAAAATATGGGTAATTAACACAACAATGACGATCCTTTATAAATTAGCAGAGAAATGACAGAATAGTTATTTATCTGGCTTTTTACAGTATTGAAAAAACTTCTGGGTTAAAAAAGCTGTTTTCAAAACATATACATGTTTTAAAATATGCATGGGTATTAAAGTGATCTACTCAAAAAATTTCCGAATAAAAAGTGACCCTAGATTTCATAGAAGTCGTAAATACTTCGAAAAATGGGGGACTGGTTTTTGCAGAGCAAGTCTACTACCCCGGTATTTCAAAGTTGTCTTTACGCTACAGATGCCCTATACGTATTTACTCAGTATGTACATGTAGTATCTTACAGTCCTATGTAAATGATCAGTACAAAAATAAGTGCGCTTTCTCTCATCAATTACAGCCCCTTTTATGTTGCTCTTTACGCTGTTTTTGATATCTAATTTATCTTTGTTAAATTATGTTCATTTCTTCATTCCAATTCAAATTGCTAGAGAGAGTCAAGGCCGAGTTTAACTTCTAAGTTATTTTATACTTTAAACTACACTAAACATAAATAATTGTGCTTGGGAGATTTACAATTTACAAAAAAGTAATGCTACAAAATTCAAATTTCACTTTACAATTATCTATTTGGAACCTAATTTGTTTGTAAATTAAAACTTTGTTTACATGCAACAACGCTCCTTACGTCAATATTCTCAGCTATCAGTGATGTTTTTACATTTAAGACATGATGTTTGGCAAGGTTCATATAAATATCCCACCGGCGTGATTTTTTTTGTACAACAAGACAGATTAAAGTTTTCATAAGAAATTAAAACAGTCGATTTGGTGACTTCTTTGACTAATTGATCAAAATAATTTTACATATATGCTTCAAGAAATAAACTTTCCAAACTATTTACTTGTAATTTTATGTTAATAAAAAAAATATACCAAAAAATCTGTTTCTTTCTTTTCTTCACGATGAAAATTTAAACATTTTTAGCACAACAATAATTATTTTTACGTTAATCTCCGACCATATCTTTTGATTTTTGTAGCGCTTATTATGAAACAGGATTTCAATGAATTTTCTCTTTTATAATTTACCGTCATTGGCAAAGCTGCCCATGCTTTTACAACCCTTCAGTTGGGTATTTAGGTCATCCGGGTATTTCTGCATCATGCTGATGGTCTCCCCTATTGTTTGTTGTTTGCATTTCTGAGTTTCTGAAACTGAAGGAAAAAGTCATAAAATAAAATTGTATCTAATAGCAAATTTTACTGCATTTGTTTCAAGGTTTTAAGGCTTGATCTAAAGATAATGTCAAAAAAAAAAAAAATTCACAAACACCTCTTTCTTTTTGATTTTTGTTTTAAGGGGGCCGACTATA